GGGGACTTAAAGAGTTCGGCTGCGTTCTGCATCAGCACTCTGATCTCCTCAGAGCAGGTGTACTTGTACCTGTACTGGTACTGCAGTGCATGTAGTACACAGAGTAAACAACAGCCTCCCTGCACAAGAAACTGTGAAGCTGATGTCACTCGGATCAACATTGAAGCTGATGATGTTACTGCCGCCCTGCAGATGCTTATAATGGCGTTTGTCTGCAGGGGTGGTGAAAGAAGGCGCAAGCACAATTTCAGATAATCACATTAAAATCTCCCTCTTCTCCTCCTCGCATCGCCTTCGTCCTGCTTCCTCTTTTCTGTCACTCCCAGCTGCAAATGTGAGAGGAGGGAGTGAGCTCCACAAGTCTGATTATTTTACTACTTTTAAAAGTAAAAAATACAGTCTGAAAATATAATTGGACTGCAAAATACACACCGAGTATCACTGCCTGTCTGCAACGAGGAGGCGCTGAATCAATTGATCAGAGCAGCTTTATACGAAATAAAATGTTTCACTGCACGAGAGTTTGAAGCTCTGAGTAAATAAATATAAATAATAATAAAAAGTTGTCAAGTTCGTGCTCACCTTCCTTTGAAGTAAAATAAATTCATGCACACAAATAAGGAAATAACTATAAAAAAGGGGTAAAATATTTTATGTTAGTTGTGTTGTTAAAAAAATTGACTTGAATGTAGATTCTGCCGTCAGATTTCTCTTTAAATAACAACTAATAAACATTACCGTACTTTCCAGTGTATAAGCTGATACTTTTTTCACAGACTTTGAACTTCGCGGCTCATGTGTGTACAAATTAAATTTTTTATTTAGTGTGTGCGGCTTATATTCGGGTGCATTCTATAGACCGGCAATTACGGTAGTTAAATAAAGACCGAAATAAATCAAATGGATGGAAACAGAGCTCAACTTTGGCAAATCTAAAAAGTGAAGCCCGCTGTTCGGCTGAAATATTCAGTTCCTTGTCATTTTATCACAGTATTAGTAGCTTACAGTTTTATTCTTCAGTTGATGAAAGTAAAAATAAAGTTTTCTTTTTAAAAGCTCAAGAGGTTTAGTAACCTGACTGGGGTGTGATATTCAATAAGTCTTATTTATTAATTAAATTATTATTATGTTCTGTACTCTTCTGTCAGCTGGGAGTCTTCTCATGGTTTAATTCCAACAGTAAAGTATTCCTCGCCATATTCGTCTTAGACTTTGTCTCTTTTGGACAGAATCTATTCGTAAAAACATATTTAAACACATCCAAGTGACAGACAGCTTCTTTAAATGAAGAGGCTAATTAACACCTGCAGGCATCTGAAGACAGAAACAATTACTGCAGACGTTTGACTGATCGAGCTGTCAGGAAAAAAAAAATCATTTTTTCTAAGATTTCTTCAAGAAACATAAAACTTTTGTTTCCCCATTCCTAATGTTTTTCTCAGTTTTATGGAATTTCAAACAAACGTCTGCGTTTTACGCCTCTTCAGAGAAAACGCCATCATTTAAGGGGCCGAGATGGTGTAGAGGCAGGGCAGCCGGCTTGGGACCCGAGAGTCCCAGGTTCGATCCCCAGTCACTGCACATCACGTGGCGTCTCTGGGCAGCACGTCTAATCCCCAAAATGTCCCCCGGGCGCTTTCAATAGCTGCCCACTGCACCACCTGGTGGTGGATGGGTTAAATGCAGAGACTAATTTCGCCATTGTATGGAAACATACAGTGCTGACATTGTGATGACATTATTATTATTATTATTATGAAAGAGTTATGTAGCAGAAATAAAGTAAAAGCTAAAGGAACTGACGTTTCTATTTAAAATTAATTAGGTGAACGCTGAGCACTAAAGAAATCTACTGAAGGAGCAGTTCAAGCCAATTAAAGCAAACTGCTAGCTAAAAGTAGCTAACAACCAAGTAAAACTAGTCACGATCTAAATGCTATATCAAAGCGCTATCTAAAAGTAACAAAATTAAAAGGAGCAAACACAAGCTAACAGGTAAAGCTAGCAAAAGCTAACTAAAAGCTAAAAGTACAAAAAGCTAGTTAAGTAGCAAACTGCTATCTAAAATGTAACTAAAAATTATCCAATAGTAACGAAATACTAACTAAAAGTAGCAAAATGCTAACTAAAAGCTAAAAGTACAAAAATGCTAATTAAAAGCAGCAAACCACTATCTAAAATGTAACTATACATCAACTAAAATAAATAAAAATACTGACTGAAAGTAGCAAAACACTGCAAAAGTTGAAAGTGGCAAAAGACTGGCTAAATATAAAAGTAACAAAAGACTAGCTAATGGTTAAATATAATAAAACAATGGCTAAAAGCAACAATAACTAGCTACATACATACATAACGTAGCAAAATGCTAAAATTGGCAAACCACTAGCTAAAAGCTGATTTAGTTAAACACTAACAAAAATAGCAAAACATAAAAGCAGCAAAACGCTTGCTGCGTTTTAAAGTAGCAAAAAACTAGCCAACAGCTAAATCTAAGAAAACACTAGCTAAAAGCAATAAATGACTATTTAAATACATACATAAAGAGCAAAAGGCTAAGTAAAAGAGACAAAACACTAGCTAAAAGATAAATGTAACACAACACTAGCCAGAAGTAAAATTGGCCTAGCTTATGTAACAAAACACTGGCAAAAAGGAGCAAAATATAATGTAAAACCTAAAAGCAGCAAAACTATAGCTGTGTACTAATGTAGCAACAAAACTAACCAAAGGCTAAATCTAAGACATTAATTAAAAGCAACAAATGACTAGCTACATGCACACTGTACATAAAGAAACAAAAGGCTAACTAAAAGTGACAGACGACTAGCTAAAATCCAAACTAGTTAAACACCAACAAAAATAACAAAACACTAGCTAAAAGCTAAATGCAGCAAAACACTAGCAAAAAGTAGCAAACCATAAGGTAAAACCTAAAAGCAGCAAAAAGCTAGCTGCATACTAAAGAAGCAAAAGGCGAGAGGCAAAAAATTAGCTAATAGCTCAACTAGTTAAACAAAAAATAGCAAACACTAGCTAAATGCTAAATGTAGCAAAACATTAGCCAAAAGTAAATAAAGTTAAAAAAAGTAAAGTTACATGTAACAAAACTAGCAAAAATTAGCAAAATTCTAGCTGTGTACTAAAGTAACAAGCTAAAAGCAACAAATGACTAGCTACATACATGCTGTACATAAAGTAGCAAAAGGCTAACTGAAAGTGACAAAAGACTAGCTAAAAGCTAAACTAAACACTAACAAAATGCAGCAAAACACTAGCTAAAAGCTACATGTGGCAAAACACTACCAAGAAGTAGATAAGGCCTAGCTAAAAGTTACATGTAACAACACACTAGCTAAAAGTAGCTAAACAACAGGTAAAACTCAAAGCAGCCAAATTAATATCACTCTAGCCACGAGTATTAAAACAAAAACTAAAAACAGCAACATGCTTCAAGCTAAATGTCACAACACACTACCTTAAAGTAGCAAAAACTGGCTAAAGGCTAGTAATAAAATAAAGGTAGTCAGCTGAAGCAGATGTCAGAGATCCGGCTATCAAATATTTTTAAATAAAGTACATATTTTGAAAAGTATGAAAGATACACTAAGCCAGAGCTGGAATGTGCTTATTTGAAAGGTTAACAGCAGTTTCACGTCAACAAGCTCCAGAAGAAGAAACAAAGAATAAAGACAAACAGGATCAAAACAGCAAATGAGTTTTGTGAGAAGTCTGCTCTGTAAACAAACCTATGATGTTGAGAGTAAAGTTGCTGCTGCTGCACACGTGTCCAACTGCGTTCTTGGCGCAGCAGTAGTAAAGACCGTTGTCATCCGGACTGGAGCTCGTCATTGTGAGGGTCCGCTCCTTGTTGTTGATCTGATGGCTAAGTTCTGTCAGCTTCACTCCATCTTTGAACCACTGGCACGTTGGTCTGAGAAGAGGAGCAGATTTACAGACGACGTACAGGAAAACCTTCAAATACACAAGGGTACCACAAAGGAAAGAATGCATTCAAACTAGAGAAACTGCAATTCCTGTGAAAACGCAGTGTGAATGCTTATTGCTGAAGAACTTGTTGAAAAACAGCTAAAATTAGAAGAAAAAAAAAGCTGAATTGTAGCTGAAATGGAACAAGCCTAAATTAGCAGAAGAAAGCAAAAATAACCTTTTTTTTTTTTTTTGCAGAATTGGGTTTAAATTAGCAGAAAATAGTACAAAAGTTAGGAAATTGGCAAAAAAAAAAAAGCTTAAAAGAGCAACAACAAAAAAAGCTGAAAATCAGCTGAAAAGGCAAAAATAAGCTCCAATTATCAGAGGGAAGTGGAGAAAGTTGAAATGAGCTCCAAAACGGTGGAAATAGCTGAAAAATCTAAATTAGCATCAAACAGTTAAATAGTAGCTGAAAAAAATCAAATAAAGCTGAAACTAGCCAAAAAAAGCTGAAAGGAGCATAACACCGGTAAGCTTAAATTACGATAAAGAAGTTAATTAGGTTGAAAGTAGAAAAAATTACCATGAAAAACTTGAATTTATCAGAAAACAGCTGAAATTAGCTGAAAATGCAGAACGAGCTTAAATTAGAACTGCCCAATTAGGCTGAAAGAAGCAGAAATTAGCACAAAAAGTGGAAACCATATGAAAAAAAGTTAAAATTTGCAGCAGGAAGCTGAAAGAAGCTGAAGCAGAACAAAATGTGAAAGGAGCAGTAAAAGGTTGTAAACGGATCTAAAGATTTGAAGGAGGTAAAATGAGCTCAATTCATTTTCTATGAGGAAAAAATGTCAGAAAAGGTTAAATATATCAAAAAGCTAAAGTTGCACCAATACCAAAAGTCATAGCAGGATTGTCCTGAAAGAGCCGAACGTTTTGATTTAGTGGAACGAGAACGACGCTGAAAAACGTACAGAAGAAAAATGGATGCTTCATAAACGTTCACACAAATGCTAAATTTAGAAACTCGGAGGGAACACCACTCACCGAGGATGTCCATCGATGTGACAGCGCAACGTGACCGGAGAAGAACTCTCGATGTCTTCTTCAGAAGCGGGCTCCTTCAAAGTCACTCCACCACTTTCTAACCCTGCAGAAAAACAAAACAAAAAGAACTATAAATAGGAAAGGAGAGAGAGAATAGAAGGTCAGGGCAGATTATTGTAGAGAAGGACAGGAACAAAATCAAACTAAGTGGTCGTCTTGTCAACCGTCAGAGGACTAACGCGTGCAGCAGAGATGGGCAGAACATCACCGTGACTGGAGAAGACAAAGCAGCCATCTCCAGGTCGACCTACATCAGCAAACGACAGCAAGACGAGCCTGAAAAAAGTGTTTTACGGACATTTACTGAACGGTTCGCGGAGTCACGCTGTCTACAGGATGGCCCTGCTGTCACACGAGCCCATACGAATGAGGCAGCAGTGAAAACAAGAAACCCTACAAGGATGGACATGTTTGGACACAGCCTCTACAAGTTCGAGCTTCGAAAACAGAGACGGAGCGTCCTTAAAGTCTCTTTACAGCTCATATGACCCAGTTACTCTCTGCACGGAGGTGAGCTCTGGCAGCGAGAACTGACGTGCACAGTGTGGTTTTAAGATCAGGAACTGACCCAATACAAACGCCTGAAGTTTCGTGAAACGTGTAAATCTTACAGCAGCAAAGCATTCCTAAACTCTCTTCAGGTAATGACTCATGTCCGAGAGACAGGAGTACTAACTGTGGATCTCATTAAGTACAGGGACTTTTTAAAAAATTCTTTCTGTAATCTACTCTTCTTCTTCTTTTGGCTTTTCCCTCTTCACGGGTCGCCACATCGTCATCCTTCTCCATCAGCATCCTCAAAGAAAAGATGGCGTCTGTGGAGCTGCTTAGTCATCTCTTGTCCAAGTCTAGCTTCCACAACTCTCTCCCAGATGTTCATTGTGACTCAACTTAATTCCCCTGTAGTTGCTACAACTCTGTTCATCACCCTTGTACTTAAAAATGGGCACCAGCACACTTCTCCATTCCTCAGGCATTTTTTCACCAACACGCCACTGAATATTTGAGTCAAAAACCTCACTGCCATCTCTCATAAGACATTTCCAAACCTTCACTGGTATGTCACCAGGCCTTCCTCTTCGTCATTCTTTTGAGAGCTTTCTGAACTCCACCCTCACTCATCTTTCCCACTTCCTGGTCCACAGTTTCTATGACCCCTAATCTTCTTTCTCTTTCATTCTCTTCATTCATTAGCCCCTCAAAGTACTCCTTCCATCTTCCCATCACACTCTCCTCACTTGTTAGAACAATACCACTCCTATCTTTAACAAGCCTAACCTGCTGCACATCCTTTCCAGCCTGATCTTACCAATCGGTACAAGTCTTTCTCGTCCTCTTTAGTGTCCAACCTCCCATACAACTCGTCGTACGCCTTCTGCTTTGCCTTTGCTACCTCCCCCTTGTGCGCTACATTGCATCACCTTATATTCCTGTCTCCTCCCTTGTCGTCTCCTGAAAGCTAGTCTCTGTAGCTAAAATGTGTAAAGTCATAACAAGACAGAACAGTATATTGAGGGCATTTCTAATTCTCCCCTTTTGCTCCGCGACAAGTGACAAAAGATGAGACTGGTGTTCCATTCGTCCTAGGATTCACCCGCTCTTGTTGCTAGAGTGTTTTCTACACAAATGCTTACACGAAACAAAAACAAGGACTGTTTGTTGTTTATGTGCTGATGTATGAGCAGCGGTTGCTTCACAACCAGTAAATATATTCAGTGCAGTTCCTGGGCACATACTTTTGTTCACCGAGATAATGCTTGTTTGGGTTGGCCCAGTTTAACGAGGAGTCTGCTGGGGTTTGTATACCCAGTATGTATTTATGCAAGACATTCCACTGAAGCGGAGCTGAGCCAAGCTCCTATGGCCCGTGGCTTGATAGTACGTCTGCTGCAGCTTTGCTGTGGATCGGCTATGAAATATGCATGACATGAATCAACCTGGGACACCAGCAGAAGTAGTGGAGGGTAAGACGCAGCTCCCATCCGAGGTCGGATGGGGCGCTAGAGGGAGACCTGTCACAGAGAATTACACAGGAACTCTCCAGAGGGATCACGGGAAACCAACTGTACACTAACAAGACCTCCATCCAACCTACTCCTGAGCTCTGCTCATTAGCTCCTTCTTAAAGCAGATACCCAACAAAGGTGCGTGTTCAGTCTGCAGCTGAACAAGTGTTTCTGTTAGAGACAAGTGGTTTGTGTACAGCTGAGGCGGTGCGGAGTGATGCCCAGATAATGATGCTGTGCCTGCACACGCGCCTGCAGTTCTACTTGAGAATGTTAGTTGTCTGACAGTTGGTTTTTGTTCAAGGTCAACAGCTTCAGCAACTTCAGAGGAGGAGGTGGCGATGAAGAATAACTCAGCTATGGGGACCTGGGGCCAAACGCTAACAGGCGGACCTGTTATTAGAGCACGGAAAGCAAAAGGGCCCGATGAAAGCAGAAGAGGAAACAATGAGTCACCGAGAAGAACGCTTTAAAAAAAAAACCCAAAAAAACTGTAAAAGAACGTCACGTTTACAAAAATATGAACCAAAACAAACCTGGATTTTTACTGATCAACACATTTTAACCCTTTCTAACTAATCTCCATCCGCAGGTCAGGTTTCTCCAGCTGAGCCAACAGAAAGTTCTGCTTCAGAACATATTAGAGGTAAATTCCCTCATAATCCCACGCAGAATGTGTGACTAAGCGCTGGAGCAGACAACGGCAGCTAACGCCATAATTAGGGGCGTATAATTATTATGTTGGGGGCAGAACAGGAAGCTCCATCAACATAACGGATGAATTGGGTTATCGTCGAGGCAGACGTTCGGACCACTCATCCGAGTGACTCTTTCACTCAATGAGCTGATTTGTTGCCATGGAAAACGGGCCCTAAACTGTGAACCGGAGTACGGTGTTGTTTCTAAATGGGCTCTGATTGACAGAGACATATGGGTTTGAACATTTCCCAAGCATGCAGCCGAGCGCCCGGGTATTGTAAACGCCAGAAAGCTTTTAGCGGTCCAACGGACTGTGAAGAGGCGTCCGATTTTATCAGCTGTGGCTGACGGGGGTTATCAAACCGAGCTGCAGGAATTCAGAGGGATGCCTCTGCTGTGACAAAAGTACAGATGCAAGAAAGAAAAAACAATGTTTGTGCTAAATAACTCTGGAAGAGAGAATAACAGAGATGCTATTTGAGGCGGAACGTCTCAGGTCTGAAATAGAGGACATGTCAGTTAGCTCAAAAGAATTGTTAAAATAACATTTAGACCAAGGCTCTGCAACCTTTATGATCAAAAGAGCCATTTCTGTCCATTTGCACACTAAATAAAATGTGATAAACTGTGATGATCAACTGGTGGCTCATGGTCCTCTTCAAGCTTGTTGGAGGGGGCTTTTCCAGCCAGTAGGTGTGAAATTATGAAACTAAAATATCAAATTATTATTCATATTTATTGATATTTTTATAATTTAGTGCAAAAGGAAAGACTGGGTTTATGTAAAGAAGAAAAAATATATATAATTTGTTACCAATTTTATGAAGATTCAAACAAGTTTTCAGGCTTATGTGAGTTTTCTTTTTAATTGTGGAAACAATTCATAAAGTATCCTATTATGAAGTAATAAAGTTACAAATTAGGCCAGTTTGACGAATACATAATTGAATTTTAAAATGAAAATGAACGCATCCATTTCTTTGTTTTTTTTATTTTTATTGTTATCAAGTTGACTCACCATATTTCTGCTCAGCAACTTGCCTTAAAGGTACAGCAGTCCCTCGCTACTTCACTGTTCGTTTATCGCGGTTTTTCAAAATAAGAGTGGACACGCCACACAATGGGCTGATTGATGGATGAGCTGCACGATCGGCATTTAATTTTTATTTAAATAAATTGCTTTAAATTATTTAGCACCTGCTGCGCAATTGTGCAGCCCATTTTGCAGGATAAACTTCCTGTTGAAGCTGATCGGCTGTTCACCGTGCAGCGCGGAGAAGTGGGCGTGGCCAAGAACGCTCGCAGGTGGCAAAGAGCAGAGGAAGCAGGGTACGGATTCACCGCGATAAACCAGGGATTACTGTATTCCCTCCAAAGTTAGGTGGATTTGAGAAACAGATTACAACTTAAGGCTTGAAGCGAGCTAACAGCAGTGGCTAACAACTAGCTACTAGCATGATGTAGTCAACAAGTTTTACTGCTTGTGTTAATAATATTCACAAGTTTGCAAAAGAAATTTCTAGAAAACTGTTAAAACTAGCCATTTCTTGTTGGTGCAACAACCAATGAACTTCAGTTTTACGTTAAAAAGAGTCGCTGCAGAGGGACCAAAGAGCCACAGGTTGCAGACCCCTGGAATGGATCTTACAAACATCATATCTTTTCTCACCCATCTCTTGGAATAACACACTCATTAAGTTCCTATAATCACGACTCAATGAAAACGATTTTATACTGTAGCGTAGAGCCAAAACGTTCAGTATTTTTAGGCGGAGTCTATTCTCGGGGTTTTGTTTGAGTGCGATAATAAACTTATCGATGCATGAAATCCTGACATATGTAAAGCTTCTCACCCCTTGGTTCTGTCGTTAAATACAAATTATTTATTTGTATTTCAGCAGAAATACAAAAAAAGAAGCGTGACGTTGTAAGATCAGACAGGACGACAAAGTTCAGAGCTGAACCAACAGCCTCGATTAAATTACATCAGCAGGAAAAACGTAGGTTAAGGACACGTGCTGTGAGACCAAGCTAGGATGGGGCACATGTTTATTAATGTTCCTGTAGGCCTCTGACTTGTGTGGAGGAAAATGTCTCCGATGGGTTGAAATATTACTGAATATCTTCCTTGCTCCCCGCAGGCCCCGTCTCTGGACACTGTTGGCCAACGTCTCACGCAAAGCTCTGAAATGTGCTGAGAATCGTGACGCCAGCGCCCCGAGGCCTCCGCTGTGGAAGCTCGGTCACCGGACATGACACAGGGATGTGGGGGGTGTAAAACCTCTCTTAGTGGAAACGGAGGGGGGTGGTAATTTATCTTCAATAACCAGCGGGATTAGCCCACCCAGCACTGAAAGCAAGACAAAATACCTCTCACTTTTTCATGGGGGAGGGGAATCAAGCTGCTACATTAAAATCCATGTACAGCACATATGGAATAACCCCCACCCCTCCTCACAGCCTACATTTACTGCCATGCACGCAAACTTGCACACACATGAATGAATGCACGGGCAGGGTCAGCGCCGTGGGGCCTTTGCTTTGCGTGCGACTCCATCGTCCGTTAAATGCATGTTGTGTAAATATGAGAACGTCTGTCATAACACGGCTGGGTCCACCTGAAGTGATGCAGAAATATCAAACAGATGACGGTGTTGATACGAGCGCGCTGGCGAAGCATAAAAGCAACATTTGGCTCCCTTAATAAACATGTTTGGTTGTAAATAAAAAAAGTGCCACAAAATGAGGAATTCTCCCGACGCTTCTGCAAAACAAAAAATAAAAAAGTGAGCAACACAAACCTGCATGGATTGTTGTGTAAAAATGTTAATAATGGACTGAGGTGAAGAGAAGTGTTCTGTAGCGAGATGGATACAAACCTGAAACTCTGTTTGGAAACATGGAGGCCACGACCTTTATACTAAAGATGACAGGGACCATCCAGCCTGTGATCAGCACACAAGAGCCTGCCTCTCTGCTGGTATGGGGGTGCAATAGTGCCTCTGGCGAGGGGTAGCTTACACATCTGATAAGGCTCCATCAATGCAGATGGCAGCATGATGGATCAGTGGTTAGCACTGTTGCCTCACAGCAAGAAGGTCCTGCGTTCAATCCCCGGTTGGACCTGGGGTCTTTCTGTGTGGAGTTTGAAAGCTCTTCTCATGCATGCGTGGGTTTTCTCCAGGTACTCTAGTTTCCTCTCACCGATCAAAAACATGCACGTTAGGCTGCGTGCAGGCCCAGGCCTCCCTTGCAAAAGAGATATATAAATAATAGGGATGGGGCTGATCCGATCCAGTATCGGTATCGGCCTCCGATACCAGCATAATTTACGTATCGGATTTTTCCGATCCAACCTGC